ATCACACTATTCAGAGGCAGAATAAAACAGCGATAACACTGATTATTTCTACTCGGTGAACAATATTCCCCCTTTAGAAGAAAACTATAAATATTTATTTATAATTATTTACTGCACAGAAATTCTGATGTACTTACAGAACTGTATGAGCGGCTCTCTCTTTTGTGCCGGAAGGAACAAGAAAATGATGTATATGCTACCCAGTAAGCGAAATTGAGTATTAATAAGTGAATTAAGCCATTCACAACACAAGATTTTTCTTTGTAAGACACGCCAAGAGAATGATAAAAAAAAACTTAAATAAGAATTAAAAAAAATTATTTGGTTTAAAAAAGGCTCTTGGTGGAAGCCTTATGGCGACGCAAATAGTAGGAGGTTCTTGATCCAAGAAAGTAGTGCTACCCTTCTTTTCCCTGGATCATCATTGATTACTTCCCATTCCCATAGTGCTGTATGACCCTTAATAGTTTATCACTTTCCTATGAATATAATAATATCTTTAAGCTTATTCAACCCAAGATAGTTATTATTTTATAACACAAGAAAACCCAGTATTATGGCTTATTATTACTTAGATCCTTCTCTAGGATGCTACAAATAACAGCTATCACCCGGGTACCCATTTACTGATATGTGAATAGAGGCAGCAGGTGTAAGGTCACTTCCCCATACGACCCGTTCCGCCTGGGAAGCAAACTCTGGTACCTATGGTTAGGCTAGACGAACGCTGTCATTGGAGTACTGAGCTTCAAATATGGTGACCACAACTATGAAATATTCTAGACTGCCACAAAATACGGACGACATCCTCTAATTGTGACTCGAATGATCAGTCAGTGAAGCCTAAGAATGATGCCAGCCAGGTTTTTGCTGCCTCGGAACACTGCCTACTTGGTTCGCAATTATTATAGTATTACTCAAAAGTATGTATTCACTGACTTTCATTAGTTCTTGTATATCACGTAAAGTAACTAGTGCCGACAAATGTGTAGACACATGCACAACGTATGGGCAATTTATTTAGATATTTCGCTCACTAACTAAACTAAACCTAATGAAACACCACTGCAACCCACCGACACAGCTAACAAGATAAACGACTTCTTCTCAACCATAGGTTCTAATCTCGCCAATAAAATCCCACGTACCAATGCCCATGCCGGGGACTACCTAGATGGGAATTTCCCAAATTCCTTCTATCTTGCTCCAACTGAGCCCACGGAAGTCACCGAGATTATAAAGTCACTTAAAAATAACTCAGGGAATCTGTCTCATGTCCCACCATTATTGTACAAGAGAGTGGCCCATGTCCTCTCGCATACTATCTCATTGCTTTTTAACAAGTCACTAGAAGCTAGCACCTTCCCGAAACTACTCAAGACGGCAAAGGTTACACCAATACATAAAGGTGGTGACCCTACAGATTTAAACAACTATAGGCCAATATCAAACTTACCATTGCTATCCAAAATCTTTGAGAAACTCGTGCACAGGAGACTATATTCATTTATAACGTCACAAAACATACTCAACCCCTGCCAATTTGGATTCAGGAAAAATAAAAGCACTAACGATGCAATTATAAAAATGCTAGATCTTCTTTACACAGCACTGGAAAATAAGGAATATCCACTAGGAATTTTTATTGACCTAAGAAAAGCTTTTGACACAGTAGACCACGGCATCCTACTCCACAAACTTGACCATTATGTAGATGAATGGTTCAGAGAACCGACATGTTGATAAATTAGACACATGTGCAACTCTTGGGTATCTTTATTGAGGAAACGTTTCGCCACACAGTGGCTTCATCAGTCCATACAAAAGGAGAATCTTGAAGAACAGGAGGAGAATGAGGTAATCAGTCCCTCAACCTTGAGTCGATGTGGTCAGTCCATCAATCTTGAATAGAATACGGCATACGTGCTGAGAAGGAGCTTATAAACCGTTGGCAGGAGAGGTGTAGCAGTCATAGGTCGTGTAACATTTGTTCAATGTTGAAGTAGGTCGTGCCCAAGAATTAGGCAAGCGAAGAATTCCCAAGTATTAAGATCCCAAGAAGTTGCAGTGTCTGACAGGTTTGTAGATGAATGGTTCAGAGAACCGACATGTTGATAAATTAGACACATGTGCAACTCTTGGGTATCTTTATTGAGGAAACGTTTCGCCACACAGTGGCTTCATCAGTCCATACAAAAGGAGAATCTTGAAGAACAGGAGGAGAATGAGGTAATCAGTCCCTCAACCTTGAGTCGATGTGGTCAGTCCATCAATCTTGAATAGAATATTCTATTCAAGATTGTATTAGTATTCTATTCAAGATTGATGGACTGACCACATCGACTCAAGGTTGAGGGACTGATTACCTCATTCTCCTCCTGTTCTTCAAGATTCTCCTTTGTATGGACTGATGAAGCCACTGTGTGGCGAAACGTTTCCTCAATAAAGATACCCAAGAGTTGCACATGTGTCTAATTTATCAACATGTCGGTTCTCTGAACCATTCATCTACAAACCTGTCAGACACTGCAACTTCTTGGGATCTTAATACTTGGGAATTCTTCGCTTGCCTAATTCTTGGGCACGACCTACTTCAACATTGAACAAATGTTACACGACCTATGACTGCTACACCTCTCCTGCCAACGGTTTATAAGCTCCTTCTCAGCACGTATGCCGTATTCTATTCAAGATTGATGGACTGACCACATCGACTCAAGGTTGAGGGACTGATTACCTCATTCTCCTCCTGTTCTTCAAGATTCTCCTTTTGTATGGACTGATGAAGCCACTGTGTGGCGAAACGTTTCCTCAATAAAGATACCCAAGAGTTGCACGTGTGTCTAATTGACCATTATGGTATAAGAGGCCATGCGCTTGCATATTTCAAATCTTACCTTACTAATAGGTATCAGTATGTCACCATTAAAGACACAGCATCAACAACACAGCCACTTGATACTGGAGTTCCGCAGGGAAGTGTCCTTGGTCCCCTGCTCTTCCTCATATACATCAATGATCTTCCAAACGTATCTCGACACCTGAACCCCATTCTCTTTGCTGACGACACGACTTATGTCATCTCTCACCCTAATCTTGCAACCCTCAACACCATTGTTAATGAGGAGCTGATCAAAATATCGACTTAGATGACAGCCAATAAACTTACGCTTAACGTTGACAAAACCTACTACATTATGTTTTGTAGCAGAGCAGGAGATGCGCAAATTAACATTAAGATCGACAACACTAATTACCAGGCATAATGAGGGCAAATTCCTAGGCCTATACCTCGACAACAACCTGAACTTCAGCACCCATATCCAACACATAACCAAAAAAGTATCCAAAACAGTTGGGATCCTCTCCAAGATACGATACTACGTGCCGCAAACTGCCCTTCTCACACTATACCATTCACTTATATATCCATACCTCACCTATGCTATCTGTGCTTGCGGTTCAACTGCAGCAACACACCTAAAGCCAATAATAACCCAACAAAAAGCCGCAGTAAGAATAATCACTAAATCCCATCCCTGGCAACACCCCCCCCCCCACTCTTCATAGATCTAAACTTACTCCCTGTTCAGTACATCCACACTTACTACTGTGCAATCACATATACGGACCTTAAATTCCAATTTTAACCTTGACCAAAAAACCTTTCTTGATATTGTACAAACCCACGGCACAACACCAACACAAACATCTCTAGACATTCCCGTGTCGACTAAACCTTTAAAAAAATTCAATGTATGTAAAAGGCCCTAAAACTGGAACCCCCTCCTAAAAATTTCCCAAAAACGCGTCACATTCTACCTTAAAAACTACCTAAAAAAAATCTTATCTCCCTGAACACCCTGTCAATAATAATACGAATCCCAACCGGGTGGTTCACATTACACCACCACCCTTTTGACCTAAACAGAAATATCAATTCAATCTCAAAATAATGAATCTTAATTTCAAAATTGGGCCCTGTGATCCCAATACTGAAACTATGTATAGTGCCAAAAAAAAAGCTTTTCATTTTGCAAAAACCACAATAGTAGTTAGTCACTTAGCCATAATCCCAATTATCTCAAAATTTCTGTAACATTTTAACCTAAGTTTAATAAATCTGCCCAAAATGCCTACCTGCAGGCGTTCTAGTGGTACACTGTAATTTTATTTTACTACATGTAACCACACAATAACCCAATTTTTGTAAACTCAGCTTATAATACTTTTAGAGAAAAAAGTTTGAATTTAATTGATTGAACTGAATTGTGGCGAGTAAAACACGAGGGAACTCCAAGGAAAAGGTCTCCCAAACCAGTCCCATAGTCGGAATGTCTTCTTATACTTTCATTACCCCCATGCTGTTATTTGGTAGCCTGAATTTTAATTTTTTTACCGACAATTTTTTCGGTATGATCGACATGTCCCTTTATAAACCAAACATTCTATATGATCCTTATTAAAACCCAAAACATTCTACTGATTCTTTATTAAGCCAAAAGGGATTTTACTGACTTTTTAAACCAAGAATTCACATATCCCTTTTTTAAACCCAAAACTTCACATGATCCTTTATTAAACCAAGACATTCTACATGATCCTTTATTAAACCAAGACATTCTACATGATCCTTTATTAAAACAAGACATTCTACATGATCCTTCACTAAACCAAGACATTCTACACGCCCTTTAGTAAACCAAGACATTCTGCATAATCCTTCACCGGACAAACACCAAAAACGTCTTAACAAACGCTGCCTCGCTTATCGTCAACTTTACGCACCTGACCGGAAACTAAGTAACTTGTCCATACTAACAAAGTTATCACAATGGAGAAGCCGAGAACTGAGCGAGGACTCTCAGAGATTAAATTGTGTAACTTCTAATATTTAATTTTATTTTTGACAACCAGTAGACGCTAGATATTTAATCAAAGTTTTGTTTGAAGTCACTGAATTTTCCAAGAGCAAGTCACAGGAGTTTACATGTACTTACCCCAGTAGCCTGACGTCCCTGGCGAAACTGAGGCTGGGAATCCAAAGTAGCCCCCAGCCACCCTTCATTCTTGAAGTCTTGGTACGTAAATTCGTTGTGTTGGTTTTGAGTTAAATTATTTGCTGAAAATGGAAAATGATAATATATTATATATATATACGAAAACTCTATGTCCTCTACTGGGATTCAAGCTCTTAGCTGACACCACGTCGTTACCAAGTTTAGATTAAAAAAAAATGATATCCAAAATTGTGCGTATAAATCCTCATAATTCAGTATACTGATAAATCAGTATATTCGCACTGAGGAAAAACATTAAAATGAAAATAATACCTGTTGGATCAATGAAGAGTTCAGTGCATGTCTGGTCTAGGAGGCTGCACTTGAAGACAACCCCGGGCTCAAAGAATCTCTCTGGGTTGTAGTGGCTGGAATTTGCTCGAGGTGCTCCCACCACTAACCTGGCATGAGTAGTAGTCATTGTAGTTTTGTATATGTCAAATGTGATAACCTAAAATACCCTGGGGCTGACAATTATAGTTTTATGATTTTTTTGCTGTTATACAGATATACCTACGCGAGAAACAAATTAAGTTTGGAAGTTGTCAGTTTACAAAGCGTATTAACATCTAAGGTCATTCAGCGCTCTAGTCAATACAGTTATATACCGTATCATCAAACTAACAAGATAACACAGGTGATATGTACAGGAAAAGCACGGGTGAAATGTACAGGACGAGAAACGAGTGAGATATAGAGAGAGGTGAGATGTACAGAGAGAGGTGAGATGTACAAAGAGAGGTGAGATGTACAGAAAGAGAAGCAGGTGAAACATACAGGTAGAGAAACAAAAACGAAACGAAAGAGGCGAGACTAAGCGAAACGTCAAGACAAAATGTATAAGGCATACACAGACGAATCCATGATTTGTTTATCAATAGGATGAGTGACTACCCAGGAAGTGATGGAGAACAGTGAGTTAGTAACAACAGAGCAGTAAAATGAAGTAAAGTGAAACAACATAATTAATCAATGTACAACTAATCTTACTGAGAAGGCGGACGAAAAGTATGAAAATATCGACAAAGATTTAGATAAACACACATGTATCATCTTGAATAGTTACTTGCAGGCTACCTTACGTCCGCCAAGACCTTTGTCACACCATAATGTGCATAGCTAACCCGTCCTTCAGATTGACGGGTTAGCATGGTAGGCTGCGAGACCGTGATGAGACTTAAATTTCAGTACTTACCAGGATGTGGTGTTTGTGCGGCGCAGTAGAGCAACGGAGAACCCGAATAAGATTCACGGCCTTGTGTGCTCATATACGGATATGTGAACACCTGGGACTCCCGCGTCTCCAGGTTGAAACACTTGACTGGAGACATCTGCAGAAAGATTCCCAGTAGGAGACAGATGGCACTTCGTAGTCGCAGGGTAGACAGCAGTCGGTGCTGCATGGTGAAGGTAGTGCTGGGGGTGACAGAGGTAGCAGCCATGAAGAGAGAGATGGTTTACCTACCCTCCAGCAAGTTAGACAGGAGTGGGAAGGGACTGCGTCTCGACCTGCTGAAATGACATACTATTGTTAGCTCGGGGGGGAAAAAAAATTACTGGCACTAGGCTTTCTAAGCTGATATAGGTAACATCTCTATTTACCTAAACTTAACCTTGTAAAACCTCGTGTAAAACAAAAAGTAAGTGAGAATGAATAAGTGAAAGTATGAGTGAACTAGCAGCGTAAATTATTGAAAATGTATGAGAGTAATGCAGTAACATGTTCTTTCTAACGAAATGTCAAGTTTTCATGGATTTGTCTAGGACTGGAATTATACTCCAAGATTTCTTGGTAAATATTCTAAGGCTATCCTGTAAAAACATTTCACTCTACTAAAGAAAAGTTGAGTTCTAACTTTATGTGAAAGCTAAAATTTTAGACTAGGCTTTACATGCCTAACTTCGTATGTAAACTTAAATAAGATAGAAAAAGATTTACTTCGATATATTTAAACCGGAGGGTTTACCCCATTAACCATGTGAAAGCCATCAGTGTCACAAGTGGACTAAAATATTTCATTGGGTCCTTAATCTGTCCCAGGATCGACCAACCTAGTACCTATCAGCCAGAGATAGGCCATTTGTCTCAGAAACTAAATTCCACCCACGGGAATGAACCGGGCAATCCGAGTGTGAGGGATTACCACAAGACACTAAACTCCTATCATTGACTTGAAAAAAAAAAAATTGTAAGTGCATTATCTAATAAAGTTTAATAGTTATTTCTCCACAAAAATTAAAAAACGATGAAATCAGTAGAAAGTTATCACTATAAACTATGCTATGTTCAAACATCAAAACCTAAACGGCTACACGTACATAATAATCTGCATCTACAAGGCCAGACAGTGTATATTGCACAAACTAGTTTCTGACCAGACTTAGCCCATGTGGTATAACCTTGTACAGGCAACTTTATCTTTATAAACTTTAATTTGTTTGTTTTTCTCCTCAAAAAAATTATACAAGCGATGACAATCATTTAGGAAAGTTGATCACATATAAAACAAACTGTATGTGCAAGCGCAAAATCCTCGAATCGGATACTGTTTCATCACATAATTTCTGCATCTAACAAGGCCAGACAGTATAACCTTGCCCTCAGGTCACGTGTTCCTGCCCCAGACTTAGCCCATGTGGTCTACCTTTGCATACAAGCTTTATATTTCGTACACTTTTTTTTCATTTGCTAAGGACGACCAAGGGGTGAGACACACGCCTCATACATGTACTGAGTGTTCATGGTCCGACCCCGGGTGGAAACGTTGGGCATGTTTCCTTGCACTGATGTCCCTGTTCACCTAGCAGTAAGTAGGTTCCTGGGTGTTACCTGGCTGTTTTGTGGGTCGCATCCTGGGGGTGGGACAAGCTCAAAAGTACCCTAATATAATAAGTCAATCCTCGATGACGTACAATGAAAAGCAGGGGTGTCACTAGCACGTTAAGAGACCATACAATAAGTGTCAGGGCCGAGACTGTTCATGCCTCCCACACACATAAGGGGGTTTACAACAGACCCTGGCATCTTCAGCTGGCACTGACAAGCACTAAAGAAGTCCTGACACCGGCTGTGGCTCGTACGTTGGTTTGGTGCAGCCAGAGCAAGCCTGGTTGATCAGGCGCTGATCCACAGGAGGCCTGAGTCAAGACCGGGCCGGGGCGTTGACCCCCGAACTCTTCCAGGTATCCAGGTAAATCCAACTTTATATACGTTACTCTGGGTAGGCTACTCTGGTTATATATATATATATATATATATATATATTAATATATATATATATATATATATATATATATATATATATATATATATATTATATATATATATATATTATATGTATATATATATATGTATATATATATGTATATATATTATATATATATATTATATATATATATATATATATATATATATATATATATATATTTATATATATATTATATTATATATATTATATATTATATTATAATATGTATATATATATATATATATATATATATATATATATATATTATATATATATATATATATATATATATATATATATATATATTTATTGGTTATTTAGTGTGTGTGTGTGTGTGTGTGTGTGTATGTATATATAAATTCAGCAAAAACAGTTATGAAATATGAAGTGTATAAGACAGGCCACATGGTCTAAATTTGGGGCTGGAACAAGTGACTTGAGGGTACACACATCCATACATAGCTTTAAGAAAAGGTACGATAAGGCTCTCGAAGCCAGAAGAATAGGAGCCGAGACTCGACCCCTACAACTACATATAGGTGCCCACGCACGCGCACTGGCTTTCTAACATTGACAAGGACGGTTACAACCACAACATGAGTCACAAACCACAGCGTTAAGGCAGAGAAATTTTAAGAGCTATATACTAATCATACTGCCAGACGCCATTATTCTCCCTATAAATATTCTAAAATGGCTTAATTTTCTATAATTTCTAGTGAAAATAACCCTGACATCTATAAAATAGTGTAGAACTGAAATATACCGGATGCTAAAGTATTTGGGCGCCCTAGCTAGTAAAAATATGAAGTCAATACAGCAGTGCCTAGTGTCCGCAATGAAGCTAGTAGCCTACTTGAATTTATATCAAGAAGTAAAAACAGAAGAAATTTCAAAGATATACAACTCTGTACATCATTATTTGTAAGTTCTCAGTCATTTAAATTATGCTGCGCAATTCTGATCTTTATACGTAACGAATATAAACTCGTTGGGAAGCATAAAATGAAGGATAATATTAATATAAAAAAAAGCGACAGGAGTAATTTAGCCGACTGAAAAAAAAATAGGCCGAAGAACAGTGCAGAACCTGATAATGATTTGGACAATTTAATATTGTGGTTGGATGAGTGCCATAAGCATTTCAATGTGGACAGATTTGCGAAATCCTAATCCTTGGAAATGATACAAGTCTAGTATATATAACTAAATCATGTACAGCTTGATAATACTAAATACGAAAGACTTAACATTTCCTACTTAATAGTATTCAAAGTTAAGTCAAGACAGTGCCTGAAAGTGCTCTTCTAAATCGCATTAGTGACAACAGGTAAAACTTTTCTCACCAATGCTCTTGCTACTAGTAGAGTATGCGACAACACGTTTAGTTTCCAAGGCTGCTAGTACAAGACTAGTGAGACGTGACCACCACCTGCTGGACTGAACGTATGACGTCCTTCCTGTGTTCTCAGTACACTGTTAACACACAATAGTACTTTGTTCATACTCTCAAAGTTGAAGTTTAAAAGTTATCGACTGTAAATGCCATTCAGGAGTAAATACATTAATCCCTAAAATATGAATTAAAGAAAACTCTGTGTATGTACACCTCTCGCATATATACATAGTATAATATAATACAGTGCTTTAAAAACATGTGAGGATCTTATATATTATAACACACTCACATACAGTTTTCTTCATTTTTATCACGGTCTCTCACTATATCAACGCTTTCAGAAAACAAATGTCCTGACGCAGGCCTTATAATATCTGATGACCTTATTAGCTTCTCCAGCAGTTGTCGACGTGAAATAGAAATACCGTTAGTATAGATTCTCTCATCTTTATGAGTTCATGAAAGGAAAAGATGTGCAGAATTGTATTTCCACCTTTCTCACTGCATACATCTCTAATAGTTTTACCAATTTATATATCTAAAATCAGGATTTGATATCGCAAACAGAACCGTTATACTACATGAACTAGCCAAAATGAATATTGATGGTAGGTTATTCAGTTGGAAAACAGGATATCTGTGAAATAGAATATCCTCTGTTTTCTACGAAGGCTTCAGAAGCGAGTCTAAAGAATGTCTTTAGGTACACCACGGGAAGTTCTCAGTCCCTTGCTATGTAATGCTCTGATTAATGCTCTGCTTGCCTCACCTAAACATAGCTGTGAGCAAAGCTGACATTATGATCCATACAAGCCATAAGATGATGAGTACCACTCTTAACGAAGATCAAGTAATTTGCAATCGATTAGGCCTCATCATAATTTCATTTGAAACAAAGATACTGACAAACAAACGACATTCCCCACCCATTTGTTTGCTAGGTGAAAACATTAGCTACGTTAAATCTTACAGATACCTTGGTATTGACATACCCTTCAATAAATCCACCATACCACAACTAAATAAGAAATGCAAAGATAGGCTAAATGCCCTCAAAACTGTTGCTGGCTACAACCCCAACTATGGTGCTAATGTGAGAATAGTGAGAATCATGTGCATAACCTATGTAAGTCTTTAATTGATTATGCTGCTACCATGTTGATATTAGCTAGAGAATATTCTTTCCGATCATTGGAGTTAATGCAAAATGAAGCCCTCAAAATTATTCTTGGCTGTCCCAAACCTACCAAGGTTCTTAATATGAGGAATGAGTTTGGTGTGTCTAGTATCACTGATAGGATTATTGAGATTAATACTGTACCTGGTATTAGAATGTTAAGAAATGAATCTTACTAAATGTCTAGAAGTAAATACACATAGATCTAAATGGGCTGTGAAAACATGCAATTACATTAGGTTTTGTAACTTGCACGAACTGTATCACTATAGACAAAAGCATTTCAGCCCTCAATGGAGGATGTGTTCATTTAATATCACATACCTGCAAGCCCCTCCCAAGAAGCTCATTACTAGTAATCCCTTCCTTAAATCACTTGTAAAAGCAACTGCTCGAGAAGAAATTTCTCTCCTGGCTGGTAGTAATAATTTATCACAAGTAATATACCACGAGTGCTGGCAAAGCTGCATCTGCTCTTGTTGCCACCTCCCTAGTTAAGAACGACAGCAACTTTGTTTGAATTAGGCATAAGAATTAACAGCTAGGCGTCTACACTGCAAACTGAATTGTTTGTCATCCTAATGGAGCTAAAGCTAACTTATGACACTGAGCTTGACTCTATCATTATTACTGATTCTAGGCCATCACTGAAGGCTCTTGATTCACATAATGACTCTAACAACATGCT